CGTTGTTTGCCAATTAGATAGCACCAGGTACCACATCTATCCCTGGCTTTCGTTGTTTTCATTGAAGGAAGCGGGGATTTAGCTCGTGCATTCATTCCTACGGTGGCTCTGCGTCGGTATTGCTACACATCTGTCCGATGCTTTCACTTATCGGGCCAAGAGATATGTTCACATCATCACTACTTTCTTCCGTCTTGCCGTTTCTATTCATCTATTCAGCTTTAAGCTTGACGAGGAAAAAGTAACACCGGCCAGGCCCTGGAATCGTTCACCGGAAGGCGCCGGCGGGGTCAACCAGGTCAAAGTTTGTCTGGGAGACGACGGACAGCTAGACGGATACGTGGTGGCTACCACGACCTGTGGACCCGGCGGCAGAGTGAGCATAGAAACGGTGGAGGTTCGCCAGGTGGTAGACGGAGGACAAGCTCATATCCAGGTAAGAAAAGGAGGTCGACGCAGTCATGTCTTCTTCTTGCTACGCTGAGTGGCAATTGGCGTCTGGAAGCGTTTACGTTCCTACTGCTGTACGTCAGAACCGTATAGTCTACATAAACGGCCATCTTTGCTAACCGCCTGTACTGGTCAGGAGCTTTGTGGGATACAGTATAGTCATCGGATGAGAGTGGACTCAGTCTGGTTTACAACTTTAGAGTTCGACTGGTGTTGAGTGTGCCGCGATTCGCGTGACCGAGGCCTTCAGGATCCGTTGCAATGGTGGCCAGAGGGACAGGCTGGGCACCGATCAAAGCATACATGTGAAGGTTGAAGGAATGTTCGGAGGTCGGCATCGATCTTTGAACACGTTGCTATTTCTACAGTGCCAGTCCGCCGCGCCACGGTTGGATAAACGCCACCGGTTATCCGAGATTAGACTGTCTGCACACTTGGCGTGCACCCCCCCGACCCCAGGTTGTAATCGGTGCCCAACGAACCCAAACTTGACCTCTATTGACCAGCGTGAGGGAGGCCGTGTTCGTGGGTCGAATACTGCTACACTTTTGATGGCCTCGTTGCCGCAGCTTGTTCTGCTCCAAGCTCATCGCGTTTCGTTGTGTTGACCTTTCCGCAGCAAATCAACATGCAAAACCTGATTAATGGCGGGCAGTGCGTCGTGATGCGCTATTGGGTTCGTGTGGCCATGACCGAGGAGGACCACGTGCTAGTCGGCATATGAGAGTTCGAGAAAAATCTCCCTCGCATAATTGGTGCAAGATTCTCGCTCAACACACGAAGTGCGCCTCACGGTATCCTCTACAGCCCTCATCGACCCGGCCAGCTTGCTACATCGACCGCCTGTAGGCCAATGGTCGATATTCTTCATTTTCAGGGATGAACGTCTTGTGCCTGGACGGCTTGGCCGTACCCTCTGAGATAGGCGTGTGTGTACGTACGTACGTGTGTGTGTGTTGCGGGCAAAAGCTATCAGTTGACACCTGTTTGACTCTCCAGGAGGGGCCAACGGAAGGCATATAGACATTGCATGTCGTCCTGTTCATGAACTCTACTTTCAGTAGGGCAGTGGTATGTGTTGTTTGAAATTTCTCTGGTGAACAGATGGTCTCCCCGCCGACCCCACCCTCTCATCCCCCGCTAAGCCCGACGGTCAGGGTGTGATTCAGAGGAAGCGCGTCCAACAGTCGCGTAATCCACGGAAGCAGGGAAACAGTCTAGGGACGGGGCACATCGCGCATTGATGATGGAAAGGCGGTTTCATAGGCAATTGTCGTTTTGCGTCAGCACTCATTGGGGAACGATGGCAATAAACTGCCACGCGATTAGGGGATGACAAAAGTGTTAGCGCCCGTCTTTCAGAGTGCTAACAGCCTAAGTCTACGAAGGCCTTGAAAACCTAGCTGCTGTGCGGGGGGAACAACAATATTAACGGCGGCCGTAGGCAATGCACGCTATGCTGTATATGCATACGAGGGTTTCCGACGGCATCGCCGTGTACCTCGATAACGCCCCATTTCCAGTGTTTGAAGTCCTTACGGAGATCATTGTCAGCACCTCGTTGCTCATATTGTCAAGGGTTTGTTGTTGTAAATAGGCAGTGACAGGAATCGATGCCGAGAAGGCCGTTGTTTGTTCAAGATTGAGGACTTGATTCATTCGAAGTATGCGTGAAGTGCCAACGATACGTTGTGAGCGTGGAAGTGGTCAGGGAGCATCGGAAGGTACCATGCAGAGACAACATGCCCTGAAAGGTGTCCCCAGTTCAGTAAGAGATGGGAACCTTTGAGGTTGTACACCTACTTCCGTGTATTTGCGGTCCGGCGGGCCTCATTGATGCAGGAAACAAGGTAGAGTCGGGGTTATAAAAACGTTTTCGGGCTCTCCCACCCTTCCTGCCCTCTTCAGTATTGATCTGCTCCTCAAATAGTGTGGCTAGCAGCCAACGGTTCGAAGCTACCTACAGCTACAATACAAATGTCTGGGGAAAGCACATCGTCTTCTCAGTTTTCTATTTGGCGTTATACAAACCGGAGAGGGATGCAGTACTTTCATCCAACGTAAGACCGACACAACGTTGATGCACAACCAAAGTTGGTGTACATACAGATGTGTTGGTCCCCCAGCAGGGCAGCCATGTGGACTGCTTCGCTCTGTCGTTGTGGTATGCTCCACGATGACAGTGGTTCGGGTTGGTTGTCTCCGGGCGAGGATTCTCTTTCGTACGTGTCTGCAGTTCGAGGCAGAGTTTTATGTAGTTTGAAACTGTTGGTGCTCTCCCCTTGTTCTTGCCCCTTTGATGTTTTTATTGCTTGACTGTATTGTTGTCAGCCTGTCTGCAGTATGAGGCGAAATCATATGTAGTTTGAAACTGTTGGTACTCTCCCCTTGTTCATGCCTCCTTGATTTTTATTTTGCTTAGCTGTGTTGTTGCCAGCCTGTCTGCAGTTTGAGGCGGAATTATATGTAGTTTCAAACTGTTGGTGCTCTCCCCTTGTTCATGCCCCCTTGATGATGTTATTTCGTTGTTGTATTGTTGTCAGCCTACGCGAGTGAGGCACAAACTGGGCAAGCAACGCCCGTTGTTTCCTCGTGATAGTTGGAAGTTTTTCCGTTGTTGCCAGCCTATGCAATCGAGGCACAACGTGGGTTGACAGCGCCTGTTGTTTCCTCCTGAAGTTGACTGCTGCTGAATTGTTGTCAGCTTGTGCGAATGAGGAACAAACTGGGCGGATAACGTCGATGGTAACCTCGAGATTTGACTACGCTATATATCGTTGTCAGCCTGTGCGAATATGGCACAAACTGGGTAGACAACGATCACCGTTTCCTCGTGATGTTTGACTGCTGTTGCCTTGTTGTCAGGCTATACGAATGGGAAAAGCACTGGATAGGCTACGCGAAAGAGGATAAAAACTGGGTGGACAACGCCCATTGTTTCCTCGTCATATTGGCTGCTCTTGCATTGTTGTCAGCCTATGCGAATGAACAACAAACGGGTAGCAAACCCCAATCATCTCTTCGTTTCGCCATTGGGCAAGTTGCCAAGCGTAGAGGAAGTCGCGTGCTGGCTTCGTGTCGTGGATGCTATTGTGTGCGTGTGTGTAGTTGGAGGCGACTAACAGATTGGTGTTTGCCTGCCCGTTGTCACCAACCTACACCACGACGTCGACTGTCGCGTAGAATGTTTACGTCGGAGAACCGAAAGGTCATATGCCACGTCCTTGGTACCACGCTGGAGGGAGGATAGATTTGTGTCTACCGTCGTCTGAGCTCCAAGGGTGGCTGGCGCTTAGAAGTCACTTCGCGTTTTACCGATCGGGAAAAGCGCGTGCTGCAACGAAATTTGACATGTGTTCGGTGCAGCCGTTGGCTGGCATCTATGGGAAATGGAGGACATGGCACCGAACCAACAAATCACATGCCTACATAAACACGCCTTTTGTACTTCCCTAAGCCTCACGCACAAAATAGCCTCGTCCAATAGCGCTCCCCTTGCATTCCCTGTAACTCCGTATGTCTTAGTCTATTTCATGGACTTTCACTACGCCACGTGTTTTCCTCTGCGTGCGGAAGAATAGCCTTGACAATCACTATTTGTACAAGAAGGGGAGGCCCCGCGTTCGTGCCGAACTGGTCATGCTGCTCTCGCGGTGTCTTTCCGAGCCGATCGAGTCAAGAGGTTGTCGAGGCCGACTCTGACTGACAGCGCAACGAGGACATATTTCCGACTCTTGCGTGTGAGTGGTGAATATGACCCGGCTTGTGCGGCCAGAACTGTTCGCACTCGCGTGTTCCCAATACAGTTGAGGGCCCTTAACAACAACGCCGGTATGTGCCCGGCGAATCGACCGGCGCTGTTCAGAGGGACCGACGCAACTTTCAACGTCCATAATTATTTGGTCAGTTTGTGCCCAGCAATTTCACCGGCGCCATATAGGGGCCACCGGCGCTTATTCACCGGCGTTGTTACTGACTGCCCCCCACAGTAGTAGTCGCAGAGGCGAGCGAGGAACATCACTGCCGGCGTTGTTCATGGTGCCGAAAAAAGTGGCCGAAAAATAGATTTATTTTCCGTGCGTCTGAGGGTTTCTGGCCCACAGGCCGCGAAGATGTCAACAGCGGCCTCCATTCACAAGGCACTGTCTATGCACATGACAACTCTTGTGACGATGGACAAGGCTCAACTTTCGTCGCGAAATCTCATGTACGCCGACGACGCTTCACGATCATCTGCAAGCCATAAAAACGGGCTTGTCTTGGATGTGCTACCAAAGGCCGCTGTTCGCGCGAACAATAATACGGGATAAACCCGCACCGGAACCGAAGATGTATCGGGTTAACTGCACCGCACCGCACCGCACCGCGCACCGCATCACACCGCACAGCACCGCACCGCACCGCACCGCACCGCATCGCCTCGCCTCGCATGTCACCGGAAAACAAAGAGATGAATACCCGGCACCGCACCGTACCGTGACCATGCAAGAGATGACCATGGTACGGTTCCGCCCTTTAGGCATCAACGGAGTCGGGTGGTGACCTCGAGCTTACTTTCGAGGGTCGCGATCTGCCTTGCCTTTTCCTTTCCCACCATCGCTGGCGCTTGCTGTTATGCCTGTCACCGGTGGCGTCCGGCCCGGGTTGCTGTCCTCTCGTAAGCTCATGTTTCGCGCGTTCCCGCCTGCTGGTGCCTGCAGCCAGAAGCCCATGCAAGAAGGCAAGCCCGCGTAAGGTAGGAACAGGTAGGTAGGTGTAAACCATCGGTGAATGAATTGCCACGAGGACGCGACCATGCACTTGGAAGCCAAATGTATTCTGGCGGGATAAGGTTGCGCACGAAAAGCTCGATGAACGTGACCTTGAGGTGATCGGTTGGGATGAGGGTTGCCTGCATCCGCCATCGGACGCAGCGGTGTCAACAGTTGGGCTTTCGCTTTTTTAGACGCGACCAGCTTGAGCACTGGAATCTATCGCCAGTGGTACCGAAACCAACAGGTCTCACGAAGTCCGAAAAACGAGCCCTCGGCAGCTGTACTGTATTCATGCAACCGCACTTGACTGTCGTAAAGTTAATCTACTCGCTGTAGGCGACGGGTAGCATTCGACCTCGAAATTATCAGCGTTGTAACTCCTTTGTCGATTTCGCGCGCCATCCCGCAAGCTGCACGGTTTCTTTGGCCATATGTGCAACAGCAAACGGTAATTGCTTTAGCGAGGTGTTCTGTGCAAGTCACAAGTCGGTAAGGTGTTAGCTTTGGTGAACACTGACGTGAAAAGGACGACGCCTCTACCCCATCTTGTACTCAACAGCTAGTGCTGGTTCCAGAAAGGCAAAAAGCAATCCCTGGCCAAAACGACCCCCTGAACTCCGCAACAGCACAACCTACAGCACCGCATGCACCCTGCACTACCTCCGTCGAGAAAGAATTACAGCTGTCGTCCAGTCCCGACCAATACGGGGCAGGCAATGGCAAGGAAGACAACGCGCGTGGATACGCGCGGCCGCTTTTCTTGCGTCGGGTTTGCAAGTACCCTCCGCAATGCTTGCCTCATCGGTGACTGGGTGCGAAATCAAGGGCCTACTGCACACGTTCCAAAGCGATACTTAGAGTCAACGGTGCGGCAAAAGTCGAAAAAGGGCAGGGTGTCTTGCTTCTCAGTGGTATGGGCTATGCCGGACCCGTCCGAAACTGTAGATCTTATTATTGTGTACCCAGACGTACCGAGACGATTTCGCTATTGGACGTGTGCCTCACCGTGTAGGGCGAACACTGATTCCAGGAGTGAATCGCGTGGTTCTCTATCGCTTGAGCTGACGCAATGCAGCGATTCATCTCAGACGTGGAGCAGCTCTCGTCACGGCCAATATTCCAGAGTTGCGATAGCAATTTGTCATGGGCATGTTTCATCTAACACGGAGGGTCATTCACAATACGAACGTCGGGCACTGCATCTTGTCTCTTAAAGTACACTAGCGGGGAGAGATGCAAGGACCTCCGCAGGTTTGTCCGTGTGGTAGATACATCGATCACGCCTTACAGACCGGCAGAAACATGCCGCTAAGAAGAAAAAGCTGAAACCTTTCTTCTACGAAAAAAACGAAATTCGGGCTACTAGACACGGCCTTGCTCCGTCGAGGACCCTGACCCCACACAAAAATATTGTATAGAATACTCTGTGCCCGACGGTGGTGACGAAGTATCAAAATTAGGACCTCCCACCAAAAAATCGCCGGTTCTAATGTCCGGGCCTCAACTTCATTAAGGATTGAGCACAACCCATCTTAACCTCTTGAAGCCCTCGTCAACGGCGTAAGCTACAGGTGATTGTCGAATCCGACATAAATGTACAGGGCTCGTTTTCGGCCCGCACCAACAGCGGGGGGGCGTAGGGTGGTCACCAATCCAATACCGAATCAATCCCGTCCCAAAGACCATATCTAATCTCGTGCCCAGACTAATCCCGGGCCGCGGGACTTCCACACGTACAGAACGCGCCACCTCTAAAGTCTCCAAATTTGGACGAGGCTCGTTCCTTTTTTTGCCTACATGGGTATTAGTGTAGGCTTGTTGACTGAAGATCTGTTTTTTCGGCCAAGTTCTTGGAACTCGGATTATTTGCGTCTCAAGTCCTAAACTGTTAAGATCTTTGGTGGTGGCGCGTTCTGCAGTAGGCTACAAATAGGGTTCTGGGGCTACTTATTCGTCGCGTTCATGCTTCTCTCAGCGGGAAGACTCGACGGAGGAATGAGATAGTAGCNCAACAGTAACGGCACCAACACCAGGGGTACGCTCACGGAGGATGAGAGAAAATGTTTTCAAAACCAAGGCAGCCTTTTGGAGAAGCATCTACAGGACGATGAATTATTGGCGACTTTGGTTGGTATCCCGTTCGTCGTTCCCGGGGTGTGGGGAGTAGGGCTAACGGTAAGCCAGCAAAAATGTCAAGGTGTCGGTCGCCGCACTATTGGAAGCTCTTAGACCCCGACAGATTCGTAGGACAAAGCCACAGGAAGCCCGCAGAATGCAAGTGTATACCGACAAGGTAGTACGCGGACAATGTCGTAGATCATAGTCTTCATTTTGGACTCGCATCATGACGGATGATAGGCAACGGGCAGCGCCAACACAAGCCCGGCGTTGGGGCCTGACTCATGGTGCTCACCTTGCTGCTCACCCGCCGGACTTCATTCATGGAGAAGTGGTTTGCTCGTAAGGACCACCCGCGTTTGATCGTGCGGGTGGCGCATGGTGATTTTCGTTGCGTTGGATTCTCTCCCTGGTAAGCGTGAAGACAGCAGTGGGGTTAGCCTCTGGGTTAGTTTGTCGCGCCTTGTCTGAACACACGTTTTTAAGCGCACCCACGTCTTGTGCCTGGCACACGCAGTCCTGTACGGGCAGAGGGCGGCTGTACTATTGTGTGGGTCAAGCAACAGTACCGTTGGCCTTTCCGAAACGAATATGGGCGCATACTTGTCGCACTGTGCCTTGGTCGCGTGCTCACGCAAAGGTTAAAGACCGCTCCAGCGCCTGGCCGTATGGCACGCGAGGGGGGGCGGACGTCGTTCGACGCTCGTGAGGCTTGCGAGCACTTTTCAGGCAACTTTTGACGGGCCGGGCCGGGGCTGAAAGGGCGAGAGCATCCGGCGTCCGCCGCTCCAAAGCCAACATGTGATCTCCAGCAAATATTACTGCCGTGAGGGAATATTTGGTATATTGTGGAACACGTGGAAGACGTCGGGAACGGATGAGCGATAACCTGACCTTGAAAACGCCGCCGTGTTTCTCGGTGATGCCAATGCTGACCTCTCCGCTGTCAGGATTTGAGCGGTCCTCGGGGGTTCTTCTCTTGGTCGAGGTATCCAAGCCAGCAGTAGCCCGACCAAGGGGCAGACGGCTACGATCATGTGTCCTTGTTGTAGTGTCGTCAGTCCGACGAGTATCATCTTCCCGAAACTCTTGAACAGGCTGTACGTGTCTCGGATTTTCTATTGCTCCTCCTTCCCAAACCCATGCGTTTCCTCGCAGGGCTCATCGCCTAGAGTTAAGTTTGTCACGTTAAGATGACGCATGTGGGGGGATGGTGCAATATCAGGGCTTGACGCTTGGTGATTTTTGCAGTCACCGTGCGTATTTCGGCGTTGCTCGCGGGCTGATGAGGGACAGCTCAAACCCGCGTTTACAAGTTTTGGAATATGTTGACGTATGCATACGTTTCGACGAATCATCATCGGCGAGGGCAGCAGCAACGAAAGACAGCGGCAACACGGCAATAAGAACAACGGCAGCAATATTGCCGGGATGCGTGGGAGCAAAAGCCTTCGCATGTTTTTCGTATTAGGCAAACATGTCCGACAAAGCATGCAATCGGGGAAGTTGGATTAGCGCTAGGGGATAGGGTCTGAGTCCCCCCTCCCTGTTCTATTATCTCCTCCTAAACGTATTTTCTCGCATCAAGGGCGGTCCCGTGGAGGGGGTCGTTGCCAAAAGAAAGAAGCGCAAGTGCATACCGTCCTCACTGCACTCGTCCAAATCACCCCTCTCCTCCAGGTCTGGCGGACACTACAGGCAGAGCAGGCCAGCGCCCTCGGCAACTCCTTTGACCATGGCATAAAACTCCGCCTCATCGTCGTATTCCCGCCTGCGGAAAGAGGGGTCGACTTGTGCGTGATGTTCGTCACCCCACCCATTCTAGGCGCCCTTCACAATTCATTTCATGGATTTGCAAGTCGGGGTCAAATGGACAAGAGGAATGGCCTCGAAAAATCCTTGACCTGGGGGTGCTGGACTGCAGTCGAAGTTACTATTGGCATGTTTTTGAAAACAACGGAGGGAGCACCCAGTAATTAAACATTCCAGAAACAAAAGATCCGTTGTAAAGTGTTGCGCAGCCCCAATATATCTCTCGTTGTCGCACAGAGCAGAAGCGGCTGGGAGTTGTCTTAACTAGCGTGTCACGGGGTCTATAGTTCCACCACGTTTTTGAAAAAACGGTAACAATTCCACCACTTCTCATTCAAGACAAAACAGGGCATACGACGGTTGCTCTAATGAGAGGTCATCGCGTTGCGGACTCCCGCCTTCAAATCGTCATTCAAGAGTGACGTGCGGGTTGGGACACCCAGATGCGTTCCGGGGACGTGCGGGGTCAACAGCTGAAGCTTTAGGCCGACACATTCGCAATTCCGAGCCCACATCGCAGACTTCTACTCACATGCTAATCCACCGCTGCATGCGCCGTTACATATCCAAGCTCCTGAACAAGATAATGCGGAGATTATTGTGTAAATAGCGACACCTGTTGATGTAACAGCCCTGGCAGCGGATTTTGTGTGCGCCAATCAATGCGCATGTCACTGGTGCTCCATGATGTCCCTCTACATAAGGAAGTGCAGCAGTTCAGGTCGGGCCTCTGTGTACTTGGATACAAGATCCGATGTNGTGTAAATAGCGACACCTGTTGATGTAACAGCCCTGGCAGCGGATTTTGTGTGCGCCAATCAATGCGCATGTCACTGGTGCTCCATGATGTCCCTCTACATAAGGAAGTGCAGTAGTTCAGGTCGGGCCGCTGTGTACTTGGATACAAGATCCGATGTGGAGAGTATATGTGTGTGGGGGGGTTGCCATCGGGGGTCCAAGTGCGGGGTCCCCGAGAGAGAGCACGCTCGTCTCTTTGCTGTAGTCCATGG